TCTGATCCACGTTTTAGAAAACGAAATCATTTTCTAATTTCTTAAGAGAAACACACTTTATTAGATATTATTCAGTCTCCCGGTTGACTACAGCCAAGAACATTTAGAAAAAGACATGTCCGATTGTGGCTGGTCAGGAGTACACTTACATTTCTGGATTCACCCAAGATACGGGCTCGACAGACTGGTGTATCAATGTGGGTTGTTTATTTCATTTGCCTCTTCAAATGACCTCCTCTTCCAGTGGTTCTCGAGGTCAACCTACGTAAATTCTGGCGGTGCGCGACCTGCCTGTCAGGAGAGTGGCGGCGAGGTTCTCTCCATTCACAGCGATAAAGATAATCAACTTCTCCAAGGTGAGAACGCAGAAATCGATCACATTCGAGGATAGCAATAGAATAGAAAATCATTGAACAACTCGAAGCAATGCAAATATTTACGCATAGTGGAATAAAATATTACAAAAGACTGACCCAAAACATTTGCTTCTTTTAGGATACATTTCGACTGACGTCACCATGGGCGGATATCTGGTAAGCAATTCTGGTGGAAGCCTGCTGCTCATGGCAATTTGAAAATAACTTGAAAACCTTGAAAACGAGGATTTTTTAATCATCTAATCTAATCACGGAAAAACGGCTAGATCGCTCCAAATTTACAAATACAATTTGGGATAGTCAATTGAGTTCTGTGACAAATAAGTGTAGATTTAAAACCAGCATTTATATCTCCACGAAACATCCGGCATCTCCGATTTTTCAGCTTATCATATAGCTCAAATCCTCTATAATTTGAAAACCTTTAAATGACCCTTTTCATAAGTTTTTTTCGTAAGAACCATTAGACCATTTCTCCTACAAATACAAACAGCTTTTGCTAAATATGCTTTTGACTTAAATATGCTCCCTCGGGAAAGACTCATGATCGTTTCATGTCTTCAAGAAAAACAGAAAGATAGCAGAGAATTCTAGCTATGCAATGGTTAATGATGTATAAAATTATTTCCCTTCACCTGCCATAGATTCTCAATTTATTTTCCCAGTGGGAAAATATTCAATTCAGGACAATGGAGGCACATGGCGATGGTTTGATGGAAGCCCGTGGAACTATTCGAACTGGGCCCCCGGAGAGCCCGTATGGGGACCGTCAAACAACCTTCATTACTGGTTCAAAGTGAGCGTTTTAGTACATTTATTAAATGAATTGATTCACTCACTTAACAATATCTGATTTCCTTTTGATTTTAGATTCGGAAGAGCGACGGAAAGTGGGTGAGCATTGGGCATGATTACACGTCGTATTATGCAATTTGTCGCGTCAAACCCATTGAATCGTAAAAAAAGAGTTTTTGAGACAAAATTAGCATTACCCTATTTTTTTTCTATTTACTTTCAATAGAAATGTTAAAACGTATAAATGCACAATTTTGCTACATTGTGCTATTTCATATACCAGAAACTAGACTTCGGAAAACAAAACTTAACCAAAACCACCAAAACCAAAACCAAAACCAAAACCAAAACCAAAACCAAAACCAAAACCAAAACTAACCAAAACTCGCCAATATCTCGCGACTGGAAGGAGCTAGCGAAAATCTGTTTGTAGATTTGAAATCAGCGTCCAAAAATCTATCCCATAGGCTATTTTTTGTTTCGAAATTTCGAGGTCGTGTTTTGGTCCTTTTTTTGGCCGCGAGATTTTGGGGAGTGAGAAAAAGTGAAAGGCAAATTTGCATTTTACAATTTTTAATTTACATGTTAATTTATATGCAAATTGAGTTTTGGTTTGTTTTGGTCTGTTTTGGTTTTGGTTTTGTTTGCCGAACTCTACCAGAAACGTTATGTTTCCTTTCTAAGTATCGTGTATGTTGTTTTATTTTTCTCAAAACCTCGAAATGTTAATATTTTTATTTACGATGCTCAGAGAAAGAAATTAGATTATTCATACAGTACTGAACAATGAAAGTTGCATCCGAAGGCCACTTTGGGCACAATCAGAAGCGCCGCGCAAAATGCGGCTGTTCATGGTGGGATCTAAAGAAAAAATTACAAGTTCTGTATATACACTACTGGACAATGAAATATCATATTTGAAAAACGATCGTCACTTTCGTGCGTCTGTAACTCCCCTTGTCTTTTATCGTATTTCTGAATATTAATATTACTATTGTGTAGCCATTTGAAAAGAGCTTTCAGAAAATGTATAACACTAATAGTTTAAACTCAAAGAAAAGGGAGTTACACAGTAAAATTATTTTCATTTAACTCTGTTTCGAGTTCGAGAAGAGAAATAACCAAAATAGTCAAAGTGGTCAAGCAGTTTGATTCTATTAGGTACAGCACTGGACAATGAAATATCATATTTGAAAAAAGATCGTCACTTTTGCGCGTCTGTAACTGCCTTTGAGTTTAAACTATTAGTGTTATACATTTTCTGAAAGCTCTTTTCAAGGGCTACACAATGGTAATATTAATATTTAGAAATACGGTAAAGACAAGGGAGTTACAGACGCGCGAAAGTGACGATCGTTTTCAAATATGATATTTCATTGTCCAGTAGTGTATATTCATAAATGAGCTGAATAACATGTACAAAAGCAATACATACATATGTCATAAAACAGATATTTTCAAAAAAAAAATTATGATTTAGTTTCAACCCAAAATGATTTTACAATTCATCTTTTTCCTTTGTTCTTTACAAGCTAAAGAGCTCGAGTTGTAGCAGTGGATGGGGAACGAGAATCAAGTTCAGAAATGTCTCAGCTTCCGGTGAACCGAACACATATCTGTCCACGGACTTCTCTTCGGATAGAACCCAGAAATATTTGCTGTCTTTTCTCCAATACAAAAAATGGCTTCCCATTTAGGCGATAAAAACCTTCGTCATCGTCAGAATCGAAATTCAGCCGATTACGAAGAAAGTTAAAAACAGTTTTTTTTTTTCATTTTGTCACAATGAAGCGTAAATTTTTCAATCAAAGTATTTCAAGATCTCACATTAATTTTCATTAAAAACAAATTACTCTACCAAACCAGAAATGGAGTATATTAGTTGTCCAGTTATGAATGCGCGTTTTATTATTTTTAAATTTCAAGATACCGAAATCAAGAAAAAGATATATATTATTTAAGCTGAAGATCTCTCTACATTTTGATTGAAAAGCTTTTGAATTTGTTCAGCTTTGGGCAAATTGGATCTGTACAGAAGAAGAGGTGGCTGAAAATGCAAGGGCGCTCTTTAATTTGCTTTGGCTTCGCTCAAACTGAGTTAACCGGTGCTTATGCCTAAATAAATAGATACAGTAGCGGACATAAATTTTGGAAACTTTTGTTTTTTCAAAAAATTCTCAAGTAAAACGATTCTGGTATGTTTACAAGCTGAAAAGATGTAAATCAAAAAGCAATGTAATAATCCATAGACAGAACTGGTTAACTTTTTGAAACTATTATTTTAGCTGCATTTATCTATAAACCCAGAGTATATAACAAAAAACTTTAAAAGCAACCCAAATAATAAACAACAAACTATTTAAACTCCTGTAATTAAAACAAAAACAAATAAAATCAATTCAATACTTTGTGGAAGATCGGTTAGAACACATAGTCTGGCACCGAGCGGTCATCGAGCCAATCAAGTTGTCGATGGTTGCTGTTTGAATTTCCATCCACTTTTTGTTTAAAAGCCTTGAATTTTCATTAAGATTATATTCTGAATCGTGACAGGCTCTCTCCAGTCTCCTTATAGGATGCTCCAATATGGTTTAAATCAGAACTCTACCAAAAACATTCCATGTACAATTCTTCCTTCTGAAGCTAGTCCTTTACAAGCCCCTCGAAGTATGCTTGCCCCATGAAAAAAGAAAGCTGGGAAGGCATCAACTGTAGCGCATTCAACTATGGAAGCTGTTTCGATAAAATGTCCGGAGCAAGCAATGTTTTATGGTGCAATTCCATCAGTGTATTTTAATGGGATCATTCCGTAAGCTGAAAAGCCACCCAAAGAAGATCACTACCGTCATGTTTTCAAAGTCGGAATTACGTATCCTGGATTGTCCTTTTGTTAAAATGACGACGGTAATATCGAAAGCCATCAGATTCAAACAATGCGAACTTACTCTTCGTCCGAAAAGAGGCAAATAGACCATTGTTGAGCCGTCCAATATCGATGCTCTTCAGGGATTTCGCCCTCGAAGCCAGGAATCTTTGCAGAGATCGGCACCTGGGCAAACGCCGACCAAACAACTAAATCCGCGTAGTCGACGTTGTACTGTAGTTGAACTGGTTCTTTTCTTTTTGACTTTGTCAGCAAATCAAAATAAATCTCGACCAATGACTGCTTAAAATGAGCCTTTGAGGGAGGATTGATCACAAACCATCCTGTTTTTAGGTCTTTCAGTTTTCCCGCATGCTTATGAGCATTTGGGTTCCAGTTCGAGCTGCATTCCTTTAAAATTTTCGATACAGTACTCTTTGAAAGACCAAGGGATCTGGATATTAAATGTCTGCATTTGCCTATTTTGCATCCATACAACATTCCTGCTTCTTCTGTTGAAGTCTTCTTGTTGCCCATCGAGCAAAAAAAAGAAAAAATAATTAGTAGAGGTTTAAAAGATAAAAAAGAACGAAAAAGTAATAAAATGAGGCTTTTTAAAAAGCTCAAATGGCAAACCTCTTGGTTTATAGGATAAATGCATTAAAAATAATAGTTTTAAAAGTTAACAATTAGTCTATGGATTTATTACGTTGGTTTAGTCTATATTAAGTTTAAATGATAATGAAATCAGATTTTATCTAAAAAAATTTTAGAAAAACAAAAGTTTCCAAATTGAGTCCGCTAATAACCATTAGACTCTTTTTTCCCTGTAACATAATTTCAGGCATTTTAATTTTCTTTTCTTCTAAGTGCAGTTATTTTATACTCATAAAACATGAGGAATAGTTTAAGCTGGAATTGTTTTTTCGAAACGACCTCCCTTTGTGTGGTCAATTTCCCCAAAAGTTGTATTTAATTCAAAAACTTTTTTATTCCAAAAAATAGAGAGATTTCATGTTCGATTGATATATACTCCATAGTAAATCTGTTCTGATGTCTTGAGAAATTTACAAATAGTAAAACGCGAGATCAGAAGAAATCTGGAAACCCATCAGTTCTGTGTAATTTGCAGTCAAATTTCAGTTCAAAAGGATTTTTGCAAAAAAATAGTTGAACGAAGTGTTCTCAGAAGCTTTTGCTTTTTATTGCAAAATGGATTCAGTAACTTGGGTCGCGGATCTTTTCTGGCCTCCATCCTTCAATGTCGATGAGGAGGCCGTGAAATGGAGAATTTTGTTGTTCTTTCTAATCAGAAGATTACAAGCCGATTTCAATGGAATTGATAGAGAAAGTTTTTGAAAAGTTTAGCGAGCTATATAAAAAACTGCTTTTATTAGTGCCCATTTTCCAAAGAGACATTTTTAATCTTTATATCAATTTATAAAAAACAAGAATGTCACCCTTTTCCTCCCATGAAAGGAATAATTTCCATAAAAGTCACCCCAAAAAGTTATTAGTTGGCTAGAGAAACTAGTCACCAAACAAGCAAAATAATTAAATCTTTTTCGGTGCAGATCAATGGGCAAATCATTTTCGTTCATCTCTCACCTCTTCTCAGCCGACTCGAGGAATAGCTTTTTGTAGCGCTGAGAAGATCTTGTTGACGTATTTTTCAATCATTTCCATTCCATTAAGGTTTGAGCATGCCATGTAGGGAGAATGGTGGCAAATCGAGGCCGGAGAACTTTGTAGAGAGAAAAATGTGTTTGTTTAGGTAGTTACTTCCAAAGTGTAAACTTTTTGGCTAAAACTGTGAAATAATTGAATTCTAACAACATCATAACACTCCCCCAGGATGTTTAATTAAAAAGACTGCATTTGTCTCCATTTACCATAAACTAAATTAATCTTAACTTTCTGCTTTTCCGGCTATTTCACAATGTTTGCTTTTAACTCAGAAATCGCTTGCCTTTAACTGACTTGAAAAACAGTGCGCAATTTTCAACAAACCAATTCCTGAAAACAATCAAACCTAGTCTGGGGTTTTGGGTAAAGAGAAGGGGGTCACCAGTTCACAGTAGCCTGCATTTCAAAGGGATCGACAGATGAGGTGTAGAGATCTGCATGTTTGCAAGCCAAGACAAACAATTGAACACCCCAGGAGTCTTTTGGGGGTTACTAATCTAAACGGGGCCAGCTCGAGTACATTATCCCATTGATGGCAACAGATTCGATGAACTTTCAAGCCGCTTCTCTCAAAGATACTTCCTGGGATGATTATACTGAAACACATAAACTCTGAGTGAAAAAACACAAGAACAAAATACATTTGGAGGCATTTTTAGTAGAAGTATTTTGGAAAAAGCGAAAAAATCCTTTTAATCCCAAAAAGTTTGGAAAACCTGCTTCACAACTTCAAGTTCAAAATGTGAATGATTTCCCGTGAACAATAATTTTTTAAAGCAAGTCGGTTAGCTTTTTGGAAATTTTAAGATTAAAAACAGCCTTGATAATAAGATTTTATAACATTATTGCACTAAGGCACCTCACCGACTGATGCTCTCCATTAGAGTCATCACTATCGTATTCATACTGCTAAAAGCAAGCTTTTTTTTTTTTTTTGCTTATTTTCTTTTTTCCTACCTTTTTTGTGAATTTCTAAACATAATATAAATTGGAAGCGATTCCATTTAGCTGGTCATCGGCAATTTGAAGAAAAATGTCAAAATGTTACAGAAATTTGTTGTTTTAAGGAAAACAATAAAATAATTAAGCTTTCCAAATGAGAATTTTAGTCTCAACAAAATGAAAAGCTCAATTTCTGGTGAATTCCCTAAAAAATAGAGTTCCGAACGAGTTCGGATTGCGATCGTCGATTATGATCGCCTTCTTTTTCAATCCATAAGTGCTGAAATGAGTTGATAAGTAGAGAGGCATGTGCCGAAAATCGGAGCAAAGCACCGTCCCGAGTTTTGCTATGCATTGAAAACTCAAATAAATCGCCTGGAATCGATTTTTTCTTTCAAGAGCCAAAAGATCAGCGAAACAGAAATTTTGATTTAAGAATCATTCTATCATTACTTTTACTTTGGTGCCAAATTTATGCTAAAGTTCTTTAGGATTTTGTTTAAAAGGTGAAGAAAGCTTTATTTTTGCTTTTACAACAATCAGATAACACAAAAACTTTCTCTGGTTGGACCGAAAAATTTCTATTAGGTGTGTGAAAGTAATCCACGATGCTTTAACGTTTAACAGAAAAAGACCACGACCCTGTCTCGTTAAAATAATTTTATCCAACGAAGTAATCACTATCCGAAAGAAACCAACCTTTTGCCAACGTCCTAAGCAAGTAAAGACATTCCGTCGATAATAAAAATCTTGGTCCGTAGGAGGCGAAGAAAAGATCAACCCTGGTTTTGAGATCTTCTTCAGAATTCGAAACCAGCTGATAGGCCAAAAAGTTAGACAGAGACAAAATAAATACAACCAGATGGAGAAAGGTCTGGACTATGAAGGGGATGTGGTAAAACCTTCCATCCGGCAACACTCTGGATTTCTTTTGTCGAGTCTGTAAAGAGACATGTGGTCGCGCGTTATTGTTCATGGGGTGGTCCATTTGTCCAACTTTTTGATAAAATTCATGGATTCAAGCGTTTCATACGGCTGAACCAATACAATTTAATGGGTCTATTTCAGAAGAGGTTGAACGAGGGTTTTCGAGAAGACCGGGCGTACTA